CTCTCTCTCTTTTTAAGAACTTCGCAGATTATTGCAAATTGGACCAGCCGGGGAAAAGCAAACGGACAACTGTACTCCTCCGGCGATCAACGAGTTCCCATCGGACGGCCTTACTCGACAACAAAGACAATCGGGTTTTATAGCTGTACATTTCGTCATAGCGATTTACATGTTCCTGTTGCTCGCCATTGTTTGCGACGATTATTTCGTGCCAGCGATTAAAAAAATTTGCGAAAGTAAGTCGAGCAACGTTCGTTTATTGTTTCGAAAGGGAAAAACGGGAACTATCATCGAGACTTGATTATTCTTTTCCACTTGTCGTGCAACGGAACTGCGGATTTTTGCGTATTTATGATTATACATGGCAGACAAAACAAATTTCTATTCAAGTTTCTATTCAAGAGAAATAAATTAATTACTGATTATTTTTACTCTTTGGGATATTGCGAAGAAATACACAGTAAAAAAAAAATAAAATGAAATAGACTATAATAGTAGACGAAACAAACTTTTTTTAGTTAAGCTTACATTCCTAAAAACATTTGAAAACGCACGAAAATCCAGTGTCCGATCTAATCGAAGGAAAATTTTCACGTGACCGATATATTATAGTAAGTCATTCATTATGCCACGAGAGAAGTGGCGATTTTTCAAATTTATCTTAAAATTTACTGTTCAATTGCATCGTCTCTCGTGTCACGAACGAGCTCGTAAAAGTAAGTTATACTCGTTCCTCGAGAATCGAATATTAATCGCCCGCTTATGTAACGAAGATATTGATAAACAATGGAATCGCCAATCGAGAGAGACTTTCCTCATGTAATGATCACCTGTTATACTCGATTTTCAGAGATCAACGTGACGGAGGATGTCGCGGGGGCAACAATCATGGCAACAGCCAGCTCTAGTCCAGAGCTGTTCATCAACATTGTAGGTACTTTTGTCACGGAAGGCGATTTGGGAGTCGGCACGATCGTTGGTTCTGCTGTCTTCAATATATTGGCCGTCCCTGCTTGTTGCGGTTTATTTGTAAATCAGGTTCGAATCACTTTCTTACGATCTGATAGAAAGGAAACGCGTTATCGACGCGATATCGCGTATCCAGGGTCTCAGCGATCATGTGAGAAAGAAAGAGACGGAAGAAAGAAAGAAACAGGCAAATAAAATAAATCTTTCTCAACAGGTATTAAATCTAGAAGTATGGCCAGTAACGCGAGACACTATCGCGTATGCAATCACTGTACTTCTACTAATTTTAACTTTACGGGACGGCCGTATCGAATGGTACGAGGGGATGATTCTCGTTTTGTCCTACGCCTTGTATATCTTAGGTGAGTTTATGAAATCAATGGCTCATTGTTAGTTTGATCATCTCTTGGCTGATAAAATACAGAGTCTGATTTCAAATTACATATGTACAATTGATACATATAATTATTATGTAGAACTTTCTGATGACACTGTTCACTGTTTTCTATTCTATGAATTTTCTCTTTACTATCATTGTCAACATTAATACAATTAATTAACGACATTAATATTATATATATAATTAATATTATTAAAACTATATTGAATATTTTCGTCTATCAATGTATACATTTTAATTTACATTTATACAATATTTTCAAAGTTAAAAAACAACATGAGAAATATTTCATTTCATCTTTACGAATATACAATGCTTTGTTGTCTTATAATTCCCACATCGAGATATTTTTGCCTTTGATCGCAAAAATGTAAATTTTTATCGTTTCAGTAATGTGTTTCGATCGAAGGATACACCGGTTCCTCCAATGTGCAACAAAAACAAGAAAAAAGTACAAGAATCTTTCCGAATCGAGCCCCCTGCTTTCCAATGGTATTGTTCATATCGATTAATTCTTTTTTTTGTTTATTCAATTCTCTGAATCACACGCATCGTTGAGTTTCATTTAAAAACACGTCATTCCCGTTTGTTCTGTCAGACCTGGTCAAAAGCACGGACATTATCTTTTTGGAGTCGAACGATGAAAATGAATCGTGTAAGTAATACGGATTATGCGAAAAATATGTACAGACCAGGGTTGGGCAAATTTGAGATAACTTCCATTAATTTATTCTTTTTACTAAATAGCTCCACCTTGTGGCCAAATCAATTAAATCATTTGAAAATTATTTTTTTATTTAAATTGATTCATTGAAATGACAAGTGAAGCTTCCAAAAGAAGCTGAGGAATAAGCTTGTTGAGAAATTGCAATCAAATAGAAAACTTCGAAAAAAGAATCATTTGCTTGTTGAAATAAATTGTATTACTGAAATAATCATCTTTCAAATAATATTTCATTCAAATAATGCCCAAACTTGGTACGAGCACTTTTTTTTCTTCTGGAAGTTTTGTTCATCCCTAATTATATATATAATAACTGTATCGTTCTAGGTGATATCGTAAACATGACAAAATGGCCAGATTCGAAGTGGGAAAGAATTTGGTGGTTGCTCACGTGGCCTATAAACTTTGTGCTCCTCGTCACAATTCCTGATTGTAGAAGAGACGCATTGAAATCTTGGTATTCTCTTACATTCATCATGTGTGTAATATGGATAGCAACTACTTCGTACATAGTTGGATGGGTCATCACTGTAATTGGTACGTATCTTTGCAACAACCGCTTATTTTATTCTGGCGATGATTCCAAGTAAAATAACGACATGGCAAATACTGAACGGAACTAAGCGTTACACGAAAGTGACACAATCAGAAAAAGAAAATAAGATTTTCCAGTTATTATGAGAACGTTACTCCTTGATTTATCGTGAAAATCATATTCATTTATCTCCATAATTTGATCCGTAGGGAGCAATTGCATTACTCTTCCTGATTCATGTGCTATATTTTATAACAGACTCGGGTATATTCTATTCGAAATAAAATAAAAAATAACGACTCGAAATAATGAATTATTTCAATTTATTCGCGTTAATTTATACTTTCAATTTAACATAAAAAAACGTAACTTTATTTGGTATCAAATTCAACTAAATCATTTCTTATTTGAGTTAATTCGTTTATTTTATTTTGCTCAAATAATTATTTCATTTTACTCGAATAAAATAACACATGATATGACAAAATTAACTGAAATTTGTAATTTGCAACGCAGTTGACAATTTATGTCAATAAATTAATGTTAATAATTCTTTCTTTAAATACAAGATAAAATAAAAAAATTCCTTCACTCGGCAGTCAAATAACAAAATAATAA